TCATGAATTGTGTAGGCCTAACCCAATTCTAAAGATAGACCCACCTTAATTTGTGGTTTCTGCAGAAGCACAGTGCATTCACCAAAGATTTTTGATTGGTTATAAATGTAAATATTCATCTATTTTTTTCTAATTATGAGATAATGAAAAATACATTTTTAAATGAAAGTACAATGGATACAAATGAAAAAAATCATGGTAATGTAAATATTTTGATATTTTAATGTAATTAATTAGTTAAAGACCTCAGTTCTGTGGCTTTCCTAATTTCCTAATTCATCATTTCAAAGATGCTGAATCCTAATATAAAATGCTGTAGAAGTCATTAACACTTGGGGTTCTGTGTACCTCTGACAGTTACTCATGTATAGCTTAAGGTAATATGGGTTTTTCTTTAAAGAGGTTAAATCATTGTCAACATATATGAATAAACAATACTGCAGATAGGGGAGAGATTTGTGGCAGACTTGTGTTAAATTTAATCTGTTGTTGAGTTTTAATTATTTTAATCATTTAAAACCAAAACTATGACCTAAACATAAATCCCCATGGGTGCAGACACAGGGCTGGAACAACCACAAGCTGTTGCAAAGTGTCTGACAGGGTTTTAATAGAAAGCACAGCTCAATATTAGTCATTGACTTTTATTGAGCTGTGTAATATACTGTAATATCCTAATATACTGTAACATCATGCAGCTGCTGGGAAACAACATTTATGTATTTGGAAATTTAAACTGCTATTTTATGCAGTAACACATTATTAACTGTTGGTGCTTTTGCTGAACTGCATGTACATGTAGTGTAGTAGTGCCACCCTGTGGACAACTCCAGGTACTGTAGGAGTGTCACTGTTCACTACTTTGTGTTTTCAGTGTATTTAATGTAACATGATGCTGTTTACAGCGGTGTATGTAAGTGATGAATAAGAATTTAATATAATCTATTACACTGTAAAAATCAGGAGTCAGATTTTTAATCCAGCCGCCTGTTTATCTGTAGACCCCATAAGGTGTCACTCTGGGCACAGAACGGTCATATAACAAAACTAACGGGCCCCAGTGCAAACTTTTTTTCAATGCCCCACCCCTGTCCCAAATACACACACATTCTCCTGCACGGACACACACACACACAACCACTCCAGACAATTGCATAGCAGGCAACTGCTAAGTCTGATCATGAAAAGCAGCAACTGATCAGCACCACAGACCTAATCTGGGCTAATCACCATTGGGCCTTCTTGACCAGCTGTGTGGTGTTAAGTGTCCAAGTGAGGTCCTCACTGATGTGGACACCCAGGTATTTGAAGCTGCTCACCCTCTCCACTTCGAGCCCCTGGATGAACAGTGGCTGATGAGATCTCCTCTCCTTCCTCATGTCGACTATCATCTCCTTCGTCTTGTCCGGGGTGATGCTGAGATTATTGTCCTTGCACCATGACACCAGACCGGCCACCTCCCTCCTGTAGGCTGCTTTGTCCCCGCCAGTGATGCGACCTATCACTGCAGTGTTTTCTGTGAACTTTAGGATGATGTTGTCTTTGTGGGAGGCGACACAGTTGTGGGTGAACAGGGTGTAGAGGATGGGACTGAGGACACATCCCTGTGGGGTGCCAGTGTTTGTAACAATGCTGAAGTCCTATTGCCAATCCTGACAGTCTGGGGCCTGTGGTGGAGCGTTTGAAGCAGGAGGGGACTTCACACAGCTCCAGTGACCTGTTGAAGATGGAATGAAAGATTCTTTCATTTAGTAGGTAAAAATAGGTACCGTTCCACTTCAGGGTGTCGAGGTTCACTGCTGCAAGCTAATATTTAGAAATGTAGTCTTGCAGTTTAAAATTTACATAGAATAA